CTTTGAAATGTGTAAACGTGGTCTTGGCGCATGGAGTGTCCCTTTAAGGTTGAGCTTTCTCTATTGTTTCCTGTAAATTCACATTCAGATCAGCATGCGAAAAAAAGGAAGAGAATAATCTCCAGGAACAATATGTAATTTATGTATAGAAACTGCCAATGTAATTAAGTCTAAGTATTGCATAATTCATGTGCCAGGCAACTCTTGTTCATCGAGGGTGCCGTGTAAGTGCTACAACTTCCTCCTCCTAATTATGTGATGTGATTTCATTAGTATTTCCTTGAGCAAAACTGCAAGAACATTGCTTCATTTGCAATGTACTAATGTGATTATGAGACTATTGCTATTGATTGTGGAGAAAATGCTGCAGTGTTTCAGACCAACAGTCAAGAGAACCACCGTGGCCTGACTGAAATCATTACATTTTGAAAACCATTCATATGATCTAATTTGGGGTAACCTCGATGTTTAATCACAGTGTAGCATTAAAAACATTTGACTGAAAATATGACTAATTGCCAGATTCAATCTGCCCATATTCTTACCACAACCTTCAGATAACATTTAAATTTAGTTATCTAAAACTAAAAATTGCATTGTGGTACAAAACAAAAAGCGATATATAATGAGTGCAGGTTTCAGTGGTTGCAGGAGCAGAAAGCTGGTCTTCAGTCATAGAGGCAACGTCATAAATAGTGATGTCGCGAACCCGAAATTTTCGCTTCGCGAACGGCGAACGCGAACTTCCGCAAATGTTCGCGAACCGGCGAACCGCCCGAAACGCCATTGACTTCAATGGGGAGGCGAATTTTAAAACACACAGGGACTCTTTCTGGCCACAATAGGGATGGAAAAGTTGTTTCAAGGGGACTAACACCTGGACTGTGGCATGCCGGAGGGGGATCCATGGCAAAACTCCCATGGAAAATTACACAGTTGATACAGAGTCTGGTTTTAATCCATAAAGGGCAGAAATCACCTAACATTCCTAAATCACAACCAATATGGATTGACACCTGACATATGACATGTTGACACCTTGACATATGGATTGACACCTGTCCTCAGAGCCCCTGATGCACACGGACACAGAGCAGAATAGAGACTGGTCCCCTACATAGGGTCACTTGGCAGATATGGATTGACACCTGTCCTAAGGATCCCTGATACACACTGACACAGAGCAGAATAGGGACTGTTCCCCCTACATCGGGTCACTTGGCAGATATGGATTGACACCTTGTTACAAACTGCTATTTGTAACTGGCCCTTTAAATGGCAAATTACCCTGTTTCCCTGGGTTGTGGAGAAGCCTCTTTGCCAGCCTCCTCCCGCATGACTATGGCCCCTGGGAGATTGTGAAAATGTATGCACTTTTATTTGGTGTGTATGGCCCTTTAAGACTGTCGGTGGGCATATTGGGGCTTATGGACTCTTTATGTGACTGGTGCTGGCCCTTTAAACACCTTTTTTTGGGACATCAGGAAGATTGGGACACTGCCCCTTTAAGGCCGTGTCCCCAGACTTGTTGGGGACACGGCCCCTTTAAGATGGTGTCCCCTGTGTCCCCAGACCTGGTGCAAACCCTTTGTGCCTGCCTTGCTATTTCCCACTTGGTTCAGTAAATGGGAAATTATTTCAGCTACAGAGACTAAGTCCCATTCGGCGATGGGACTTAGTCTTTTTTTCAGCCTTATTTCAGCTGCAGAGACTAAGTCCCATTCGGCGATGGGACTTAGTCTTTTTTTCAGCCGTTTTTTTCAACCTTATTTCAGCTGCAGAGACTAAGTCCCATTCGGCGATGGGACTTAGTCTTTTTTTCAGCCGTTTTTTTCAGCCTTATTTCAGCTGCAGAGACTAAATCCCATTCGGCGATGGGACTTAGTCTTTTTTTCAGCCGTTTTTTTCAGCCTTATTTCAGCTGCAGAGACTAAGTCCCATTCGTGATGGGACTTAGTCTTTTTTTCAGCCGTTTTTTTCAGCCTTATTTCAGCTGCAGAGACTAAGTCCCATTCGTGATGGGACTTAGTCTTTTTTTCAGCCGTTTTTTTCAGCCTTATTTCAGCTGCAGAGACTAAGTCCCATTCGCGATGGGACTTAGTCGTTTTTTCAGCCTGAAATGGACCGACCTCACAGCCCAAATCTATGGAACTGTTTTGGGCAGGAAAATGTGCTTGCAGTCGGTCATAAAGGGACCTACAGCTAACTTTTTAACCCCTGGATGGATTTGGCTGATTTTTTGGTTATGTTTATGTTTTAAGTGTGCTGATTCAAAATATGTAATTATGAAGATGGGATGTGTAGTTTTAAAGTTACAGGGTATGGCTAAAAACTGTATTTTTACTGCCTGTGTTTAATTATGT